ATTTACCCTTATGACTGGTTTTGTGGTCCAGGGTCACATATGTTAGAATAAAAAAAGGTTGCTCTTACATGTAGTGTATCTGGTCATTTCAACAGTGGACGTATTGCCGTTTCCATTCATGGCTGTAATCTGAATTGAATAAATAAATACTGAGAAACACAAATCAAAACACTATAATGCCACTAAGGCTACTAAAAAGAAATAAATACCTCAATATTATATTCCGTGTGGTAGTAAAGATTTTCAAATGAAAATGAACAGTCCTTATTAGTTTGATTTTTTTCAGTTGTGCCTTTGTTTATGAGATTGGCTGTATAGTTTCCCTTCTTTCCATTCCAATCATTTTCACTCAAGTTCTTGCAGTTCACATAAAAAGAATTGTGAGATGTTTCCCGTACCGTTACATCTGACTTCACAAGTTTGGGCTCTATTGAAACAGAAAAGAATAATACAATTCACATGTGAATTGATACTGATAATTTCATAAGAACTTTTTATTTTACTATTGGAGCATGATCTCAATGACATTTCTGTTGTTAAAAATTGGCCATTACTTGTACTTTCAGGAAATTCAATTATTTGTTTAACTAAATAAAAGATACAACTAAAAGCAGTCACAGGACTACAAAATAAACAATAATTTAATTAATCAGTGAAATATGCAGCATTAATAGTAAAAGTATGATTCATTTTCCAAAATTATAATATTTCTTTCATTTTGGTCCAAAATGGGAATCATTGTTAATGAAGACAAACAGAAAGAAGGCAACGTTCACATAAGAGACAGGCTATTTTTTTTTTTGGACATCACACATTCCAATATAGTCAACATTATGTAGGTCATAAATGAACATATAAATTGTTACATTTCTTTACATATAAAGAGCAGAAATTAAAATTATGCAAACAAACATTTAAAAGCATGACACTTACTGTGAGAAGGTGTATTTATGGGATATGAAATTGTATAAATTAGGTAGTTGTTTTTGGCTGTAATAACACATGTATAGCTGGTAAATGCAAGTACTTCAAATGTGCAACTTCCCTTTCCAGTTGAGTCTCCCCTGGAACAATCTTTGACCGAAAAGATGAAATGGTAAACGTACACTGTTAAATTTATCCTCGAACGGCATGACTATTTATATGGACAGATAATCAGATATTTACACACATACACACACAAATATAAACATACACATGTTTATGTATGTATGTATGTATGCATGTACAGTACACACACACACAGATGAATCATACATGACCAGTAACATGCATTATAGAAAATAAATGTTTTTTTTAATTTCATGCTGTGTTTAATACATACATTGTTCTACAGACAAAATAGCAGCATACACATAAATAAAGATTGACTTTTTAGTGTGTGTGACTGTTTCTTTAACTTGATTAATGCAAACAGCTGATAATTTCATAGCCAATTTCAGTGATATTTGAAAATTGGCAGTCCTAGAGGAAATACTGAGCTTTTACCTTTAACACTTTGAGCTTTAGGACTTTCACAAATGCCTGAAAATGTAAATTCAATCCTTGAACATTTGTTCTTTGAGGATAGAGTCCATGAAATCTCAGCTGAGTTGTAGGTTACTACAGGTAAATCAGTTGTATTTTCAAAATCTGTAAATGTTAAAACAGAAGTCAGGAATAAGGCAACACATAAAGCATGAGACAGTAACATATGTAGCTTGATGTTTCTTCAACTAAGGGCACTTTATGTGCCAAACTTGTATTAAAACCAACAGATATCTCTTTGTTTTATAAATGCCCTCAACTTTTTGCTCATTTATTTACAAAAGTTGTATGCATAGAGTTATACATAGATTTTGTTTTAAATTTGTCTAGACCTATATTTTTCACTAGCTATGCATGAAGAAAAAGGTAAATGCCACATGCGAAAAATAAACAATGTTTGTGCGCCATTTCCAGGCAACCTGCAATTTCAGCAAATTATGCCAAAAGTATGAAAAAAATGTTATTGCATACAATAATGATAGCTTGAAATTAGTCAGCCACCATAATTTTCATCACAGAATGATATTACACAGAGTACATGATTTAAAATGTACTAGAAATGAGACTGTGGTGAGAATGATCATGACTTGCAGAAGAAAGACAATTCTACTGTTATATATGTATATTTGCTGTTGGACATTGTTAATACACAAATGAAATTAACCAACAACTGAATGCTTTAAGAGTTCATTTATATAAATGTCTACAGGGCTCAAATAAAAAAAAACAGCTGGAGTATAATCTACATTTACAAGCCAGGGCATTATTGTTATTTGCAGGTGTGGGGAACCATATAAGTCAACAACTCACCGCAGCTGATGTTAACTAGTATGTGATTGCTTTGAACGACTGTATTGTTCAATTCATATTTTCCAGTGCAGTTGTACATTTCAGAAGGCACCAAAAACACATCCTTTTTCAAGTTATGTTGCTCGGATTTGCCTGCTAAAGGCAACATGAATATGAAAAATATGATTAAAACAAAACTTTATTCATTTGCATAAAAAATGTAACACACATTGCAATTACTTACCATTACCAGAGCAGTGGACCTTAAAATTGTTTTCCTGACAGTTTCTTGGTTTATTACGCCACTCAAACTGAGTGGGGATAGTTTCAGTGAAGTTTATTTCAGGTTTGACTGGGGGAAAAAACATTCTGTTAATTAAAATGTGATTCTTGTTCTTCAGATTATAAAAAGGTAAGAAAGAGATGGTTCTTTAAAAAACCTTTGACTGAATGGTTCTTTGTGGAACCAAAAATGGTTCTTCTATGTGAGGAACCTTTTAAGCACCTTTATTTTTAAGACATTAGACTGTTTAATTGATCAAATACTTACCTGGGGGCATGTCAACATTCATTGTATAGTTGCATTTGTCTAGTTCAATGCCAATGGCCTTCTGAACACAGGAGGTGTTATCTGTTATATCAACACATTTTGACAGATTCCATTTGCTATCTTTAAAACACACTTTCTTTTCCCCCTCAAGTTCTGCAGAATGGCTTGTACTTTTATGGACTAAAGAGAAATAAAGAATTTACAAAGAATCAGAGACATTACTTTCCATTTTTAAAAACATTAAAGCAAATGAGTAGCAATTCAATTGAATAAAACACAAATTCATAGCACAACATCATAAAATACACTAAGAACTTCATATGGCCAAACATTTACACTGTCCACCTTCACCTTATTTTCATCATGTTCTTAATCAGGTTTACATTAATTTATTGAAACCTATGTTATGAATGCAAATCAAGACATCAATTCTGCCTATGTTGTCTGGAGAGAAGTACATAAACAAATCAACAACTAAAGTTCTTTCAAAAGAACATCCAGGTTACATATGTAACCCTCATTCCATGATGGAGGCAAAGGAGGCATTACAAGTGAGCCCCCATATGTCAGTATTGATGTAATGTCAAACATGACTGACAGAAAGGGAGCTTCACATTCACATATGCCAAAATAGCATTATACTGTAAATAGAAGTCAAGAAATACTTACCATTGAAATGAATAAGGTTTTCTGTAAGCTGACATTCATCAACTGTGACAGTGTAATCAGTACATGGTTTTAAGCTTTTAAACGGTATTTTGAATGGAGAAGGTCCTTTTTCCTCAAACAAAGTGTTGTTCTGATTGTTCATCAACCTGAGTCTATACGTTGGGTAACTGGAGCCACTGATAATCTCCACAATGACTTCTGCTTCATTCTCACTGTCTGTAAGCATGTACTGACCTGTATGTAAGTGCATATGAACATTCACAAATTCACAGGAATCATCAACATGTCCTCAACAACACAATCAAAGTTGAATTCACACAACAAAACCAATACTCACATTTTGTGGGACCTGAGGAAAGCACATAATCACAAGTTAATCATCACAATAAACAGTAATTATTTGTACAGAGAGCAAAAATGCTGTGATTTTACCCATGGTGGTGTTGTTTAATGTGGTGGTGAATGTGGGTGAGGGTGAGGTTGAGCTGGAGTGCATGGAGCTGGGAGATCCAGTGCTTGGATGTGAGGTGGTGTCATTCCCTACATCTTGTTGAGGCAGTTGTTGACAATAAAAGAGTTAAAAAGAGCTGAACAGGATATTAAAATACTGCAAACTAACGTGGCTTACTGCATTGCTTCACACAAACAAATGCATTAATATACAACAGTTCAAAATTAACTAACTAAAGAACTGTTACCTTTCATTGTTATTGATGGGGGTTGTGATGGAGTGCTTGTGGGTGAGAGGCCTGTAGCTTAGGGTAAAGCATCTTTATTATTATTGTGTATTACTTTATGCAATTCTCAAACTAATCAATATTACACTGTTACCAGTGGTGGTGCTGGTGTTGTGTTGGTGTGAAGTGGTGCATGAGGTTGAGTTTGCTTCATGTGTGTTGTTCAGATTTTGACACCGAGAATCAAAAACCTTCCCTAAATGATAATGATTGTGTGAACAAAAATATTTACAAATGTACATTTATGTAAAAAAAAAACTCCTTAAAATATAAATGAATAAATGAATAAATAAATAAATAAATAAATAAATAAATAAAAATGTTGCTAAAGCATAAACATTTTTCCGGATGCACTCCTGATGGTTCTCCAAACTATTATCTTAAAAATTGTACTGAGTAATTCAACTTTGTTTTGCCAGTTTCAATTTGTTTGTTCACTAAATGAAAAATGTCTCATTCAGCCAGTAAATTAATTAAGGCAGCTTTAGATTTGTTCAACAAATTTTCAGTTACATGACACTGTTTTTAACTAACAACTGACATTTACACAAGTCGATAATGTCATTTTGGGGCCTGAAAATACAAACCTTTGAAAACTAATTAGTGCAAACAGTGATGTCATGTGTATTATCTGTTCAGTCTGCAAGTATGTGTTTCTTTACAAAGTAGCATTGCCAACTACTGGCCTTGCATGAATAATACAGTGTGTGAACAGGGATCGTTTTGACAACATTGTCGTCTGTACACAAAACTTTTCAAAGTATTGAATACTATTTCATTAGTATTGTTACGTTTTAAATTTTAAATTCTTGCTCCAACTATGTTTGACTAGTTGGGACATCATTTGAGGGAATTATGTTGGTCTAACATTGGATTTATTTAGATTCACATTCCTATTATTTGTGACTCAAAAATGTCAATGTAAACTTTAAATGATGTAGTATTTTTTTCTTTTACAGTGCATATACTGCATAAGCTCAACAATAGTAATTTATGTACAGGACATAAGTTGAAGAAAAACAAACAAACTAAAAAATGAATAAAAAAAAGGGGAAATATAATGATCAATATACTGTTACCTGCAGAGGTGTTGGTGTTTTGTTGTTGCAAGGTGGTGCGTGTGGGCGAGGTTGATGTGTTTGTCTGGTTATTAGGTTCAGTAAAATTTCCTAAATGATAATGGTTATTTGGTCAAATAAAATGTTTTTCTTATAAATAATTTTACACAATCCAATATTGGATATAAAGAAATTGGACATCATGTGACGACCCAACATAGTACCAGATTTATA